AAATTTAACTCAATAGCCAACTTATTTCCCTTCTTAGAACGAGAAAGATCTTTTGCTTTCACTTGTAAATAAACAACCCGGGACAGTATTTTTAATTCCTCAGTTTTTCACTGTTTGAAAGATGGCGCTGAGACAGCTGGATAGACACTTACCGTGAATTGTGAGGCTGACCTGAGCTGACGGTCCTGCCTCCACTTCAGAGCCACTTGTGCTGAAGCAGGGTCAGCAAGTTGCCAAGCCTATAACACTCCTGGGACCGGGTCACACAAGAGCTTTCCTTGCCATGGACCCACCCACTTCCCACACTGCACACACTGATACAGGGAGCAAAAGTACACTGTGGTACTTGTAACTTTATGGTAATGAGGCATGGCCATTATACTCATACACAGTACACTCTATTGGCAAATGTGTCAATCATCTTTTCTGTAAACTTTTTTGCTGATAAGCAAGAAACAAAATTTGGTTAACTTTTGAAAATTCACGTTAAGTAATTATGATTTTCAACTGTAAATAGTAATTTAAAAAGAGAAACCTGTGAATGGAATAGTTACCACTGAAATTAAGTATTCTGCTAGTTCATGGTGATCAAATAACGAGGCCCTGCAAAAAAAGAATTATAAGCATATTAAGGTACTACTGACATAAACATATAAAATAAAGCTACTATATTCAGAAAGTCAATTTAAATGAGCACTTAATAACCTGATAAAATGCTAGAGAATTTAGAACCTTTCAAAATCTGTGACTGATTCTGATTTTTGTAATATTTTCAAAGTAATCATAATAGAAAAGTATCAAATATATCACAAGATTTTCTTCCTCATCTTTTAATAAACCTGTCTTTCTCCATGTAAAATCATCATGGAGGCGTTCTGAAGTGAGTCCTAACATCTGTCCTAAGAGCTGAAAATAAAAGATAACAGAACTTATTGTAACTACCAGTTGACCTTCGAGAATAATAATAGTTGCATGCCAAGTCCGCCTAAAATTCACCTGTAGGGTTAAAAATGCCGTCTCTTTGTCAAAAGTCAACCAGGCAGAGTTAGCTCTCCTAAGGTTTTATGAAGCCAAAAATAAAATATGGGGAGAATTGAAGTCATTTTGGTATTATCTCACAGCCAGTCATAAGGATAATGTGAATAAAGCAAATATAAATTTTCAATCTATATTAAAGCATCCCCATAACAAATGTTAATACTAATGATGTAAAACTTTGTTTCCTATTGCAAATCCTGTGTCTTTATTCCTATTCAAAATTATGTCAACTCTTCTTAGCCCTTTGTATATAAATCTTGGAATCAGCTTGCCAGTTTTCATCCAAAATTCACAAGAGGTTGTATTATACTTAAATTATATTAAGTGCACTTAGTAATTTTAGGAAATTAATAATGACATTAAGGTTCCATTTGATTTGTTCTTGTATCTCCCCAGTTTAGAGCTTTGCTACGCAAAGTGTGGGCTGCAGATCAGCAACACTGGCGCCACCTGGGAGTCAGTCAGAAAGGCCCATTCCCAATAGCGCTGGACACTGGGGCTGGGAGAGGGTGAAGGACTTGCCATGGTCACATTGTCAGGTGGGGCTGGCACCCCCTTCCCCTGACTCCAGAGCTCACTGCTTCAGCCTGAACAATGTCCTGGGGTCTTTGCGCTACCAAAGTAACCAAAGGCATTCCAACCCAAAGAGCAAACTTTCCTTTGAAGCTCAATATAAACTCCAAATGTCACTTGTTATTAGAATGTCATTCCAGGATCCTAGATCAGTATTAGGTTTGTCAGAATTAGACTGAACTGGTCCAAGACATCTTCGGCCAATCCAAGTTGAGTATCTCCAGCTAGAGTTGTCGCCAAGCTAAGGATACGTATGGGTCAGGTAGATGGATCTATTTTGTAAAATAATTCCTTCTTATGCATAGTCGTATATTAAAGCTGTGTTCTACATGGACACAATTTAACTATATTCAGATAATTGCATTTCTCAATTGACTACACATTGGAATCACTTAGAGTTTTTAAAATTTCTGGTACCCCCTCCAATGATTCTAATGTAATTTGGGATATGAGCGTGACCTTGGGATTTTATAAGTTCCTCGTATGATTCTAATGTGCAGCAGCTGGCGTATCTTCAGTCTAGAGGTTAGTCTATCTATTGAGTTTTTGTTTTATTTCAAAGGCTATTTTTTGTTTTCATTTCTAGGGCTTCTCACTGGGTCATTTTCATGTAACAATCTTTGATTCATAAATTTGTTTCTTCTCTTTTAGCTTAATCTATTGTTACATAACTGATTATCCATTCCTTTAAATTTATGAAAGTCTTAAATATCCTTCTTATTTTCAGATTACCCTATAATGTCTATTTCCATGGATGGAAAATAGCCTTTTGTTGATTTTGTTGTCTTTTGTACGTTTTCCTTTATGTGTTGAAATTTTATTTGCAAACTCATCCTAAGTGGGACTCCTTAGCGTTCTTTCCATCCAGGCGTATCCCAGTGGCCTGGTAGTTTGCCAATGTGTACGTTGATTCCCCATCTCCCCAATTTAGAACCAGGTCTTATATTGGTAGCTAGAGTTTCTTTTTCCCTCACGGATATTGTAGATTTCCAGTAGGTATATGTCAGCTCCCTTCTGCCATTCCAGGCTACCAGCATGCTCACAGCTGTGTGTGTGTGTGTGTGTGTGTGTGTGTGTGTGTGTGTGTGTGTGTAACAGAGAGATGGGCTGAGAAGGCTCATCTCCACCACCTCTTTCACTCACACAGGAGGCATTTTAGTCCTTTTCTTTCCAAAGGAATTGAGCTCTCAGTCTACACTGCCTGTTTCCTGTCCTAGCAGTGTCAGATGCTTTTTTCTCTCATGTGGATTTCTGTGAAACTCCACAGCAATATTGATCTTGTTTGGGGCTTGACTTTCATTGCCTAAAGCGGTATGTTTTGAAAACATTTGTAATTGTGGGAGTGGGCGGACAGAGAAATGGGGGGGGGCGGGGGGAAATGAAACATCCATATATATCTGCACTAAAAATGAGGATAAGACACACAGGAGGAACAGATTAGAAAGGGTGTGGAAAGCCATGTCTGTTGACCTCCTGAGCCTACAGACAGCTAATCCCGGGGCTGTAGCCACTGGACTAAGAATTGACGTGAAATGCAGCACTGGAGATCTTATGCCATGAACAATCTATTTAACGTTCTGTGATTCCAAAGGAGCCGGTAATTCCCAGTTGAACCCAGGGCCTTTGCTATCCCTGTTCTTTCCTTTTGAACTGCAGAGTCTCTGCTGTACAAGTGCTTCCAGTCGGGGATAATGTAACACCTGGAAACCGAAACTGTACCCAGATGGGAAGGCGGTAGCTTGCCTGTGAAGCAGCGTCTCCTGGTTTCCGTCCACGGCATTCACAATGTCGCTGCTCCCAGAATAGGAAGATATCATCAGTTTGACAATCTCGGTGGCTCCCTGGGTGGCGGCAAAATGAAGGGCTGTGCACTTCCCGTTCTGTGAAGAGTTTGGTTACCAGAATCAATGTCTAAGCCCCATTTAAGGATATAACCTAAACTCNTCTAAAAACTACCCAGATAAATGTTCTGTTAATCCTATCAGTAAAACCCATCTAGAATATCGGTGTAATCAGTAGAAAACTTCTGGTTGTGCACAGGCATTGGCTGTTGTTTTAAAAGAAAGATCATCAGGGGAACTTGAAACTGTCCATGCTCAGAAACACGGGCTTGATCTGCCTTGAACCTGAGATCATTCACCTCTGGGTCCACTACTGGATGACACTGGGCCCTTGCACATATCTATCTATGATTATATAGTTTTTGCACACGAAGTGACAAACTAGTCTCCAACTTCATCATTAAAACTCCTCGAGAGACTGGTTCAAAAACCCACAACCACAAAAGATCACGTATTAAGGGAAATCTCATTAGATGGCACTAGTAACAACACGGATTTGCCTGGAGAATATTTTCACCAATATCCAGCTCTGGGGTTTCTGTTGGCAAGAGTGTGTCGGGGAAGTCCAGGTAGGGCAGGGCAGTTCGCTTGCCCATGACCATGACCATGGAGCCAGACACTGCATATGCCTGAAACCCGGGAGTCTCACAAGACAGCCATGAAGGCAGTCTATGCCTATGCTCCCATGATTTAGAAATCGAAACTGAAGTACAGAGAGGCTGTGCAACACATCTGCCGTCACCCCAAGAGTTCATTAAAAATTCTATAGAAACAACTGATGTTTAAAAACTGTTACAGGGCCGGCCGAGTGGCTCAGTTGGTTAAGAGCTCTCTCAAGAGTGCGAGCTCTGAGCAATAAGGTCGCCGGTTTGATTCCCACATGGGCCTGAGCTGAGCTGCCAACAGGTGGCAGGATGGCCCAGCTAAAAAAAAAAAAAAAAAAAAAAAAGTTGTGGAAAAACAAACAAACTGTTGATTAACAGCTGAAATTTATCCTTTTTCTGTTTCCTCTCAGGCTGCAAACCATCCCTCGTGCCCAAGGACACTCCATGACTGGACAGGAAGCCAGCATACCTGTTGCTCCTGATGGTTGTAAGAACCACGTCCTTCCTCTTATTGTGAATTGCCACGTGCAGAAAGGAGGCCTGTTGCTTGTTGAGGATGATGTCGGCATCGTAGCTCAGAAGGAGGGCGACAGCCTTGGCGTGGCCCTCCGTGGCAGCAAAGTGGAGCGCAGTGTTCTGAGAGAAGACAGAACACGAAAACCCAGGGACAGTGCGGCTAGTCGTCCTTTGGCTATTTTACTGCTTATGTTTGTTGAACTGCTTAAAATCACTTATGGGCAGATCTAACTATTTACTGCCAACATACATAGCATTTAAAACTGGTGTTCGGAATCAAGCTTCAAAATCATGAATTTATAGTTCTAACAGGCGTGTGGGTAGGGTAGGGCTGGGGGATGTGTGTGTGGATATGTGAATTCCAAGTGGTTCATTTTCTTTGTTTTCGCAGTGAGATGATTCCACGAGGACAAAGGAGACACTTTCAGGGTAAGGATGCTGGAATGAACACGGAAGAAAATAGTTGTGGGAGAATTATCATTTAGGGGAGCAGTGGTTTCCAGATTCAGGGCTTTCACAGTCTTGTGAATTAAAAAAAAAAAAAATCGGAGATTGCTATAGGTAGCCCATCTTTAGTTTTGCCATGTGAA